CCCTCAGCCTTTCCTCATAAGACCTTCCCTCCATACCAGGCAACATCCTGGTAAATCTCCTCTGCACCCTTTCCAATGCTTCCACATCCTTCCTATAATGCGGTGACCAGAACTGTACGCAATACTCCAAGTGCGGCCGCACCAGAGTTTTGTACAGCTGCAACATGACCTCATGGCTCCGAAACTCAATCCCTCTACCAATAAAACCTAACACACCGTACGCCTTCTTAACAACCCTATCAACCTGGGTGGCAACTTTCAGGGATCTATGCACACGGACACCGAGATCTCTCTGCTCCATCCACACTACCAAGAATCTTACCATTAGCCCAGTACTCTGTATTCCTGTTACTCCTTTCAAAGTGAATCACCTCACACTTTTCCACATTAAACTCCATTTACCACCTCTCAGCCCAGCTCTGCAGCTTATCTATGTCCCTCTGTAACCTGCAACATCCTTCCGCACTATCCACAACTCCACTGACTTCGGTGTCATCTGCAAATTTACTAACCCATCCTTCTCATCCAGGTCATTTATAAAAATGACAAACAGCAGTGGCCCCAAAACAGATCCTTGAGGTACACCGCTAGTAACTGAGATCCTTGAGGTACACCGCTAGTAACTGAGATCCTTGAGGTACACCACTAGTAACTGAGATCCTTGGAGAGGTCATCAGGGAGGGTGGGCCCTGCCTCTGGGGGCCTGGCCTCGATACTCAGGAACAGGAGTTAGGCCATTCAGCCCCTCCAGCCTCTTCCATCATTCCATGAAATCAAATCAAATTAAATTAATGTAAATTAAAATGCTTCCACACAACCTGTTTCACAGACCATGAGAGGTGGTGGCTGACCCACAGTTTCCCCATATATCTGCGCTCCTCAGTTCTGAGGAAGGCTCTCTCCACCCAAAATGTTAACTCTGATTTCGCTGCTGAGTTTTTCTAGCAATTTCTGTTTTGGGTTCCATATATCTGCCTTTGGCTCATATCCCTCAGTACCTTTGCTTAACAAAAAAAATCTATCTCAGATTTTAAATTAACAACATCGAAAGATTTACAAGGGTGTTGCCAGGTTTGAAGGGTTCGAGCTATAGGGAGAGGATGAATAGACTGGGGCTATTATCCCTGGAGCGTCAGATGCTGAGGGGTGACCTTGTAGAGGTTTATAAAATCATGAGGGGCATGGATAGGGTAAGTAGCCAAGGTCTTTTCCCCCGGGTGGGGGAGTCTGAAACTAGAGGGCATAGGTTTAAGGTGAGAGGGGAAAGATTTAAAAGGGACCTAAGGGGCAACTTTTTCATGCAGAGGGAGGAAGTGGTGGAGGCTGGTATAATTACAACATTTAAAAGGCATCTGGTTGGGTATATGAATAGGAAGGGTTTAGAGGGATATAGGCCAAATGCTGACAAACATGACTAGATTAATTTAGGATATCTGGTCGGTTTCGATGAATTGGACTGAAGGGTCTGTTTCGATGCTGTATAGCTCTATGATCAGTGTTTACTGTGGAGAAGGAAATGGAAGGTATAGAACGTGGGAAATAAATAGGAATGTCTTGATAAATGTCCATATTATAGAGGAGGAAGTGCTGGATGTCTTAAAACACATGAAGGTGGCTGAATCCCCAGGACCTGATTAGGTGCAACATATAACTCTGTGGGATGGTAGGGAAGTGATTGCTTGGCTGAGATATTTGTATCATCGATAGCCACAGGTGAGGTGCCGAAAGACTAGAGGTTGGCTAATGTGGTACCACTATTTAAGAAAGGTGGTAAGGAAAAGCTAGGGAGCAACAGACTGGTGAGCCTGACATTGGTGGTGGGCAAATTGTTGGAGGTAGTCCTAAAGGACAGGATTTACATGTATTTGGAAAGGCAAGGACTGATTATGGATAGATTATGGATAGCTTTGTGCTTGGGAAATCATGTCTCACTAACGATTTGAAGGAGTAACGAAGAGGATTGATGAGGGCAGAGCAGTGGATGTGATCTATATGGACTTCAATAAGGTGTTCAACAAGGTTCCTTGTGATAGACTGGTTAACAAGGTTAGATCACTTGGAATAAAGGAAGAACTAGCCATTTCATTACAGAACTGGCTCGAAGGTAGGAGACAGAAAGTAGTGGTGAGGTTTGCTTTTCAGACTGGAGGCCTGTGACCAGTGGTATACCACAAGGATCGGTGCTGGATCCATTGCTTTTTGTCATTTATATAAATGATCTGGATGTGAACACAAGAGGTACGGTTTCAGATGACACCAAAATTGGAGGTGTAGTGGACAGCAAAGAAGTTTACCTCAGAGTACAATGGGATCTTGATCAGATGGGCCAACGGACTGAGGAGTGGCAGATGGAGTTTAATTTAGATAAATGTGAGGTGCTGCATTTTGGAAAAGCAAATCAAGGCAGGACTTGTACAGCTAATGATGAGGTCCTGGGGAGTGTTGCTGAACAAAGAGACCTGGGAGTGCAGGTTCATAGTTCCTTGAAAGTGGAATCAGGGATGGGATACTAAAGAAGACATTTGGTCTGCATGCCTTTATTGGTCAGTGTACTGAGTATAGGAGTTGGAAGGTCATGTTGCAGCTGTACAGGACATTGGTTAGGCCACTTTTGGAATACTTTGTGCAGTTCTGGTGTCCCTGCTGTAGGAAAGATGTTGTGAAACTTGAAAGGGTTCAGAAAAGATTTACAAGGATATTGCCACTGTTGGGGGTTTTGAGCTATAGGGAGAGGCTGAATAAGCTGGGGCTATTTTCCCTGGAGTGTCGGAGGCTGAGAGGTGACTTTATAGAAGTTTATAAAATCATGGGGGGCATGGATAGGGTAAATAGACAAAGTCTTTTCCCAAGGGTGGGTGAGTTCAAAACTAGAGGGCATAGGTTTAAGGTGAGAGGGAAAAGATTTAAAAGGGAGCTAAGGGGCAACTTTTTCACACAGAGGGTGGTGCATTTATGGAATGAACTGCCAGAGGAAGTGGTGGAAGCCAGTACAATTACAATATTTAAAAAATATCAGGATGAGTATATAAATAGGAAGGGTTTAGAGGGATATGGGCAAAACGCTGGCAAATGGGACTAGATTAATTTAGAATATTTGGTCAGGATGGATGAGTTGGACCGAAAGGTCTGTTTCGATGCTGTACATCTCTATGACACCAAAGCTACCACTTATGGAAGAGAGTTCCAATCCTGTGTCACCCTTTGTGTGTAGAAGTGTTTTTTGCCCATTCACCTAATCTATTAATATCCCTTTGTACGCTGTGTTGAAAGCTTCCTAACTTTGTACCATCAGCAGATTTGGATGTATGACTTTCTGTGCCATCATCTGAATTGTTAATAATAATATAAATAATTGAGGCACTAAGATAGAACATTGTGGGAGTTCTCAGGTCACATCCTGCCAATCTGAGTATCTACCCATCATCCCTACTTTGTTGCCTGCCACTCAATCAATTTTCCAGCCTTGCCAGTAATTTGTCCTTAATTCCATGGGCTCCTGCCTTATTTGACAGTTGCTTTTGTGGAACTTGATCAAAAGTCTTCTAGAAGTCAATATAAACAACATCCATAGATGTTCCCCTGTTTACTACCTCCGTCACTGCTTTAAAAAATTCAATGAGTTGTGTCAGAGGATTCAAAACTTTTACTCTGTTTTCTTCCCACAAATGCTGCTAGACCTGCTGAGATTTGCTAGCAATTTCGGTTTTCCTCTTGCAGTCTTCCCAAAAAATTCATGACTTGATCAATTTCTGAATCTGGCGGGAGGACTTCTGTGGCTAGGGACATCAGAAAATGAGGTTGATGGTCTATGGCTTATAGAATCTCTGCAGTGAGGAAGCAGGCCATTCAGCCCACACTAACCCTCTGAAAAGCAGAGATAACAAGGTGTAGAGCTGGATGAACACAGGAGGCCAACATTTTGGGCCTAGACCCTTCTTCAGAAATGGGTCCCCACCCAGACCCAACAGGTTTCCCAACATTCTCCCTGGACGTTAGATACAATTGCCCACAGCCCCAAACCACACATTCTTGGACTATGAGAGGAAACCTCACACAAACACGAGGAAAATGAGCAAACAGCACACAGACAGGTAGAATCGAACCAGAAACCCTAGCATTATAAGGCAGTAGGGCTAAACCACCGAGCCAGCGAACAGTCAATAGTGCTGAAGGGTGGAGTCAGGGAGAGGGTTAGAACGGACTGAAAAGAGGGGGCGGGGCAAGTGGGTGGGCGGGGCTAAGGTGGGGGCAGCGTCAGGGTGGGCGGAGCCATAGTGATAGGCGGAGCCGAAGGCAGGGGGCGGAGTCAGATGGGCGTGCCCGACGGCTGGGTGCGTCCCGGTGTTGTCCCGGCCCGGGGAGGGGATGGGCCCAGGAGGAGGCTGGTCCGGGGACGGGGCGGGGAATGCCCGGACCTGACACACGGAGCCGGCAGGGGGTGGGGTTGTGTGTTTGTGGGGGAGGGCCTGCTGTCAGGCAGACCGGCCCAGTCCGGCCCGGAGTGTGTCGGTTCCCTACGCTGGCACTGTCTCTGTCTGTGTGGGGCTGAGTGTGTCTCTGTGTGCGCCATGGAGAGGAAGCGCACAGACTGTCCGTGTCTGCCGCCAGGCTGGAAAAAGGAGGAGGTGATCCGGAAATCGGGGCTGAGTGCCGGCAAGAGCGATGTTTATTATTACAGGTACTGCGGGGAGGGGGGGGGGGGGGG